CGGGAGCCATGGCATGGCCTGGGCCTGAGGAGCCCCTTCGTGGGGGCAAAAGCCACGAGGGATGGGGCAGTTTGGGAAAGGTCAATGTGTGGTGTCTGAGGGAGTCTTTTATGGGAGGGAAACCCAGGACTTGAGCATTTTGTTGAATAAACGATGCCCTTGAAGGAGGTCCTTATTTGCTGGACTCACAGTTTAGTCGGTGTCTCAAGCTGCAGAAGATGGTTGTCCACCACCATCTTCTCACGCTTCTGTGAGCCTAGACTTCGGAGGTGCAAGTGCAAAGAGCAAAGCAGAATTACATTCTAACCAGCACAGAACACACAACTTCAGAGGAGAGTTTACATGTTGCAAATGCCCTAACTGCTTTTCCCAACTCCTTAGCCCCAAGGACTAACTTTGAATATCAGTATTGCTCTTTAGGGGCAGTGAGGCTTTCCATTTTGGTTTAAGCTTTGAGAGTTGCTTATTTTGGCCTTGTTGCATCTACTGGAGTGCCTGCTGGGCTAAGGTTTCCTCCTGGTGCAATACAGGTGTTTCTGTGGATGTGGCTTGTCCAAGTGGGCAAACCACTGATGCCTGCAGCTTTTCTTTGTGGCTGTGCTGTGTTTATGGGGTATGATATCCCCAGAATCCTTCAGGGATAATCCGTTGGATGATCTTTGTGACCCTTCTGGACCCCCCATCCTTCCAAGAGGAGCAGGGCAGCCTTGGGCTTGGCTTCTGTGTTGCTGCACCTGTGTAACAGAGCAAGGGCTGCCCCATGGCTCTGCCCAGGCTGCTGCTTTCTGGTCAGCTGCAGGAGCGCAAACAGTGTCGTAGTTCCTCTGAGTATCAGAGAAGATAAACATGATGCTCAGTTTCATCTTCTTGCATGACAGTGGGTAGACTGTCTAGAAAGAAGGGGCTGAACAGCTCAAGTGACTTGTGTGGAGTGTCTCTTGGCAGTTAAAGCTAAACCAAAGGCAAAATAGGATTTAGATCCTGCTCCACAGTAAACCTAGTGTTGGCAAAAGTCCCCACTAACCAGCTGGACTTATTTTTAAATAATGTTGTCTGCATTTTTTCTACCTTATTTTGGATGCATTTTCTCCATGCCAAGTTATAGATTCACATGTATAACACACTTTCCCTATATAAAATGTTTTATAAATAACAGTATGCAGTATGGATCCCAGTTCTGATTAATATGGTTGCTTTAATCTAGTTCCAGATTCTTTTCCCCTAGCCCAAAATATACTTTGAAAAAGTATATGGGTAAGAAGTATGGTAAAAATGAAAACTACTTGAACTTTGAAGTTAGTGAAGTACTTGTGTTAAGGAAAAATGGCCCATGGCATTTTGTAATAGGATCTCATATCCATTATTATATACTGGCCACAAAATCCCAATCTTGAATCTGATCATTGAAGTCCAAGAGTGTTCAGGATTCATAATTCAGGCTAAACTTCCAAACTGCATGTTCAGGTTTCAATTTCAACCCCTTTCAAGGTGTGCAGGTAGGCAAATTATGAGTTGTTCTTGTCATTTAGCCCTCTGTAAAACCTGTGGTAACCAAAGTTGTCAGCCTGAACATCTTTCACCTGTTCATACCACCTAATGCTACCTGTTCAGTGGAAGTAAGTTCAGGATAGTTTGCTAAAGTTTTTAATTCCTACTTATATGCACACCTATTGGGTGTACTGGCTTATGCATTTGTACAGTTTTCTAGACATGGACTAGGAAGATATCAAGGTCATTAAGTGTAAATGTGTATGGGGAAGGTCATAGTACAAGTAGCTCAGAAAGGATAAAGCATCTTACGAATACTGGATTTTTGTGGAATGAGAAACTAGTTTTATGCAAACACTGTTCTTAGTGTTCAAGAAAAATACTTCTCTAATTCTATTGCCTGTAGAGCAAGAGAAGAGCAAGACACAGTTATAGTGCCCTCCATCAGAGACTGCTGTGCAGTAGTAAAATGTGTTGCAGTCCAAATCCATTACATAGCAGACAGAAAAGGAAGGCTGAGGTTGCTTTTTTAGTAACTTATTGACTCTCAGAATCTCCAGTTTCCTAGGGATAATTTGGATTTTACTCATACTTCTACTCCTCTTGAGAGAGGATTTTGTAGAAGAGCTGGTCAAAATTTTCGTATTTAATTTCCTGCAAAACTGATCTTTCTTCCAAAACGAGGAGTTTCCAGTGAGTTTTTACTTTTCCAAATGTTGATCTTTTAGAATATCATGCTGCTTGTTTATCCTTCTTTGCTCCTTTTTCTTTTCTTTAATCCTTTTTGTCACTTGGTCTATAAATCCAACTCTTGTTACATTTTTATAGATGTTTTTTCATTCTGCCATCCTTTAATCTTCTTCCAGCTCCTTTAGATTTGAAGGCATTGAAGAATGGCAGAAAGAAGCTGTCCAAAAATAATCCTGGAGATTAACCATTTATTGTGTAAAGGATTAAAAGAAAGAAGAAATCAGGAAATAAAAAAAAACTTTCTTGAAAATAAAGGAACAAATAGATGCAGAGAGCATCATTTTCTCACCACATGGAAACATCTCCAAATTTGCTTTTTAAAAATAAATTTAGTCCTTTTCTTGTTTCCCCCAAAGATGCTACATAGGGCTAAATTGGCAGCACTCCCTCTCCATCTCTCTGTGGAGGCCATAGAGCCTGTTTTTCACATGAATTGCATGCATTAAGGACACGTGCAGTATAATAAAAACAGCTTTATTACAAATAAAAATCTTTATCAAAGAAAAGCAGTGATGGAGTCTGACACTTCCTAAAGTTTATTTAAATAGGCTTTTGTTACCTTGAATATAAATCATTTATCTCTCTCGAGCACAGTGTATGTATTTTAAACTACCTTGGTCAAGCTTTCATCTTTTGTCCTTTATCCAGCAGCATCTCAAAGAAAACCTCAAGCTTCTTCCTTCTTTCAGAAACATTGTTCCTTGAACTTCTTTCTCAGTAGGTTCCTTTGGCCTCTCCACTGTCACATAGGATCTTACATCTAGCATTTCTCGTAGGCAGTAGTAGTTAACTCTTTTAAACAGTTTTAAAAGTTTAAAATGGTGAAATCAGTGTATTTGTGAAGGTACAGGGGATATTTTTGCCCTCGGGAGGTTTAGTAGTCCGGAAAATATTTGGTAGAGCAATGGGAGAGGATGTAACATTAACTTAAATGTTAGGAGGCCAACGTAGATCTCTGCATAGGAGCTGGTTATCTGACCAGGTACCTAAACTGAATCCCCATTTCTTTCAGTGCTTTCCTCCTTGCTCAAGGCCCTGACTAACAGTTTGCACCTTTGCTCTGTAACACTTCCATGCAGATAGATGTTTGCCCAGAAAAGCCCTGTTCTTGACACAAGCTCATCCCTGTTTGCCCTTACCAAATTTCCAACCAACCTTTTGCCTACCAGATACACAAGCTTTGGATTTTGTGCTCTTGCATCCTTTGAGTATCTGCTTTTTTCCCTGAATTGGAGACATGCAGCACCTGTGTGCTCCTCTGCTTGTGCACAGCTGGCCTGTGCCTGCCAGATGCTGGGTGGGCTTCCCAGCAGGTCATTTATGGCCATTATGCAAGGAGCCTGCAGGAGGGGTTGCTTCCTGCTTCTTGAAGGCTTCCAGCAATTTGAGGAAGGTCAAGTAACCCTCAAACCCACTGGGGAAGTGGTGGAGGCTTCATGTCAAACTGCAGTGCCCTTATGGACTGCGGTGCGTTTGTGCTGTGAAATGTGAATGGGAGAGGTTGTGCTCCTAGTTCAGGGGCTGATCCTGCAGGCCCGAACTGCTTTAAAGAACAGCTGCAGACTTGGGAGTGATATGTTTAGCTTTTGGTAGAGCAATTCAGAATTTAATTAAGAGGAGCCCTAAGGTGTGAGGTAAAAATATGTATCGATACTATAGATATGAAAAAAGCAGGTGCCTGAGGTTCTGGGTGACAAGAAAGCCCTGTTGTGATCTCAGTTTTTGTTCCGACCCAGGTGCCGTGGCAGGAGAGCGTAGGTGCACGCTGCGCGCTCCGAGCGTGGCGGGGGGTTTGGCCGGGAACCTCGGCACCGGCCGGGGGTGTCGGGCTGCCCTGGCCCCGACTGAAGGGGAATGTGCAAGACATGGGCCGTGCTTCATGGCCATGCGCAAGGGTTGGTGCTGGAGGTAGTCTGGTTTTCCCTGCTGGGAAGTTTATCATAAAGGAGACTGCAGAAAGCAAAAACATGCTGTAGCTGCACTGGAGAGATCTACTCAAGTGACTATTGCTACTTTTTTGGTCACCTGCAAGTGGACATCTTGAACACATTGCTAGCACCTCATGTACAAGTCAGTGGGTCAAGGAGCGTGGGCAAAACAGCTCTGGACAGGACTAGAGCCATGCCTCATGGCTGAGCACAGGCCCATGGTGATTGCTCAGGGAGGGTGAGAAGATGCTGATTTCCTCCTGTCCAGGTTTCAGTAGCTGCAAACTCCTCCTGCCAGGGTTTCTGTGCCAGGAATAGCTCATACCTGCATGAGAAATGGAAAATTAGTTATGTACAGCCCACACATGTCTGAATCAGTCCAACTTCTTCTGCTTTGTACCCAAACTGCTGCTGGCTACTGTGTCGGGGCTTGAGCAGTAAGGAAGTTCCTCCCTGTGCCTATTTGTTCCTAGCCAGTGACCCTGAGCAAAGCCAGCAAATGGCTTTCCCAGGGACATTTGGGCTACCTTGTACTGTGTCAAGAATCTGAATGGAACAGCTGTATGTTCCTTTTTCCTGCATAAGATCATTTCTTTGCACTGACGTGGAGCAGTTTCACTTCTAGGAGCCAGCCCACCATTCTGATTCAAAAGCTCCCCAGAAATTTTGCTTTTTGTTTCCTTTTTCAGCTGTGTGGCAGCATAAACTCCTACATACCCTCTTGTAAGAATCCCCACCACCTAGAATGGCCAGGAGACACAGCGAGCACCCTCCCACCCAGAGGAAGCAACAGGTACAAGTGGAGGTACAAGGACCATTAGACTTAACACAACCTCAGATTCTTGGTTTCTTAGCTGCATTCACTGCTGCCATGGGCATGTACTCGCTGTTGTACTCATGGGAGTTGGAGTCGCACTGTTGATTCTGCAAACAAAATGCCAGGAATTCAGTTTGTGGTCACCAACCTCACTCATTCCTGCCTATTTTCTTTAAAGAAGGCAATTAAATCTGACTGTTTTCACTAGAGATGATAAAGTCAAATAGGCAGGCATTCACATACATAACTGGGAGCAGGACAAACTGAAAATGAAAAACACTGTCCAACAAACATAACTAATGTGCATGGTCCTCCTTTCTTCAGCCAAGCGGCTTTTATTTGAGTGGTTTTGCTGTGGAAGGGAGCTGGAATTATTCCACAGATGATTTGTTTTCCCCTCTGGAAGAAAACAATCTGGTGAATTGCTTAGCAGAGTATTTTTGCTGACCTGTGCATCTCTGCCCCTCTTGCCTTTGGTTCCCGATCTTTAAATCAATAAACAATTTTGGTTTAGAAAAATTACATCTGAGCTGCTGTCATCAATGATGGAATTCCAGCAGTAAATTACCAAGTCAGTCTCGTTGTCAACACACACATCCCATGCGAAGCATGAACCTCTCCCACCCTCTAAATCTCACTAAGTGAAGTTCCCTCTCCGTGACCCTTGTAAGGGCTGTGCAGAACTTCGTAGACTTACTTACCTTGTTCCTTAAGCAGCACACTACTACACAGCAGACACAGGAGATCATGGCAAATGCTGTCAGTCCAATAACTATCCCTGACACAAGTCCTGTAGAGATGCACTTTTCCTTTTCTGGAGAGGGGGAAGCAAAAAGTTATGGCTTGAGACCTGGCACTTTTTATTTTCTTAAAGATAACTTCCAATTTTTTTTCTTCTCTTTTTATTAATGAAATGGTAGAAGGGAGCTGTGGAGTAAGATCCTCCTCAGATGAAGAGCTCTCCTGAGGGAAAGGAGAGCAGAAGAATAGTAGCTTACCTGGGATGTATAGATAGGTTTCGTTCAGCCTGCACTCTATGTAAGGAGGGGGTAAAAACATCTCCAGGCAGCAGGTGTAAATGCCCTCATGCTTTCTCTCCAGGCTTTTGAGAACGAAGGTGGTGCTGCTGTTTGAATGCTCTGCGTGGCAGTAGGTGACGTTGCTCTCGGGAATGGCGTTCCCTTTGCTCACGTGGAGCGCGCAGATCTGCTGCTTCTCGTGCCCTTTGAAAAGGATCATGCTGAACTCGCTCACGTTTTTGGGGTTGTGGAATGTGAGCTTGAAGTCTCCACTACTAAAATCCACCACCAGCTGGGGGTCAGAGACATGAGGCCGATCTGAAGGCATGAAAATAAAAAGTAGTCACTTGCATAGCAATGAGGAGAATCCCTGAAATGAGGGGAAGCTCATTCAAATAGACCGAGTGAGCCATACAGTTTTGCCTTAACTGAAAGACCTCTTTGTTTTCCACGCTGATGGAGGCATGTTATTAAGGTGAAACCTAATTATTTCCGTGGCTATATCACCTTTTTCACTCCCAGAAAGGGAGGAGGAGAGGACAAGCATCACTGTACGCATGTGTTTACATGCAATCCAAGGATCACACTAGGCCTTCCCTAAAACATTGACAGAAAAACTCTCAGAAGTTGAGCTGATCTCATTCTGCAAATTGTTTCCATTTTTATTTTCTTGGAGGAGAAAAAGAAGAGTGAAGTGACTGAAAAAAATTAAGTGTCAGTGTGCTGTAAAAATATGACAGTTTTCTTCAGGGTCAGTATTTCTGATCTAGAAGTCGTTTACAACAATAAACCAAATTGTGCACAAGTAATTAAACAGCTTTTAAAATGTCTTACCTATGTTTTTGCATAATCGTGATGAGCAGGTGTCAGCTCCTGAAAAATACAAAATTGTTTCCTGTTTAATGTGCAGGGAGAGAGATGGAGGAAGAGGGGGCGGGCTGGGGAACGGTAAGTTGCTGCTGTGATTTTGTGACATGAGTTTCTGATGCTCCTGAGCCCGTCTGTGTGCTACCCTATCAAATCACATGATGTGATAAAATCCCAAGTTATAGAAATCGAAGTAGAAAGAAAATCAATTGAGTAATAATTAATATTGATCACATCTATCGTACATACAAATTCTTTAAAGCTCTGAAAAGTAGGTATTTCTGTTTAATTTATATTTCATTTCTACTTTTAAAATTCTATTTATATTTCACTTCTGTGTGCATTTTCTTCTATCGTAAGTGCAAAGGGAGATGAATGTAATTTTTTTCCAAAGATACAGAAGAAATCTGCTCCCAAACGCAGCAGCACTGTGTTGCTTCCTCCTGGATCCGGATCCCAGCAGGGCACCAGGATACACTGTGTCCATCCAGCCCTAAGTGCCCCTTATGCTCCATCCCTGCTCCTCAGCATACACTGAATGATCTAGTGTGAAAATGTTTTTCTGGGGACACATCTAGAAGAAATACCTGGTGATGCTGGGGGTGCACAGCAAGAACATGTTCAGGTAGTTGGTACAGTTTTCTTTCTTTCTTACAAGCTGTTCTTCTCTTCATGCCTACCAACTGCATTCAACCCTGTGTCATAGACAGCCCCGCTGGTAGCAGCCTGGCACACCTTGCATCTGTTCTGGGATTTTTCTGAGCTGGCACCTCCGTTGCCACCCACCAGGACAATGCTGAGAGAGGAGTTTTCGGGCTGGGTTAGTGGCAGGTACCGCTTGGAAAGGGTTCGTGTGTCAGTAGGCACAGGCCGGGCGCAGCAGGGGAGTGCTTCATTTAGAGCTGTTGTTTTTGCAGTATGCTCTGGTAGAAGTTTGTCCTATAGCTAGGTAGGAAAAGCAGGGTCTGCTTTTCCTCTCCCCCTGTACTCTGAGAAGGTTCTTCAAAGGCCCCTTGGATTGCAAGACACCCTGCACCAGTTCTTCATGGTGCTAAGGAGATGGGGCAGATAGTTACTCCTGCTGCTGTTGCTGAGGGTCGCCCTGTACCCAGGCATAGCGATGCCCAGCGGTGCCAGAGGCTGCCCCCTTGTCCCAGCACCTCTGATCTCGTTCCCTGGGCACCCGTGACCCCACAGCGCAGCCCAGGCTGGAATTCCTTCCTCTTCGTAGGCGCTCGGGATCAGCCTTCCTCTCCCTCCACACACGCGCAACCCTTTAGCGTCCAAGCTCTTTGCTGCACCCTGTGTAGCATCCCTGACAAGAGCATTTCAGTGAATCATACCTGTTGAATATGTTTTTAGTGCAGTGCACAAGCTGATGGGCTTCTGGAAGGCTCTGTGGTGTGTGGCTGGACAGCAGAGCCAGCTGCTGTCCCGTTTGATTGATTCATCCTCTTCAGACTTATCCTACTCTTCCCGGTCTGCTGTGCACAGTCAGCAGCCGTATCTGCTGCACTGACAGCTCTAATATCTGCACTTCTTTCAGGCTATTACTTAAGTGTGTGATAACAGACAGGGTATTTGGCAGCCTGTAGGGTGTTTGTTCTCACTAAATACCTAGTGACACTGTTAAATGCAGTTTTCAGGGTGCCCAGCTGGCCAGGGGCCAGCAGAGGAAAGCAGTGCTTCTGGGCACGGCGAGTAGTGGCAGGATCACTCTAGGATCAGTATGGACCCAGTATGGATTGTTTCCCTGCTGTATGACACACTGTAAAATACTGAAGCTGTTTTAACGTATGCGACTACCACAGCAGCCATTTTTGACAATATTTCACTCTGAAAAGGGCCTGGGTTTCTGCCGCACTGAGAAGAGCAGAGCTGAGGGTGAGCAGCAGAGCCGCCCAGCTGCAGCTGGCGAGTGCAGGTTCATGTGCAGCGTCAGGGGCCATCAGCCCCGCGGCTCTGCGCTCCCATGCAGACCCTAGACACTTGGGCTCCTGCCTTTACAAACACTTGTGCTGCAAATGACCCAAGGCACGTACATACTGCCTCTGTGGCCTATTTTCATTGAAAAAACTAACCACAACTCTGAAATAAGCCTGGCTTATCTCTAAACCAAATAACATTTAGAGGTTACTCCGTTGCCGCTCCTGAAAACTTGCCCCAGTGCTTGTAAGCCCTTTTGGCAATGATAACATATCCCTTCATCGAGTGGATCATGCTGATCTCTCGTGCATCATGCTGATCTTTTACAGCCCTTTCCTTTCTAGCAGTGATGATAATTACTGCTTTTTAACTTGGAAGCAGTGTAAGAAAAAATCTGAGATACCATTTTTCATTTCTTCCTTTCTCCTAACATCATCTCTTCACAGCCCAAGCCCCATTCTGCAGGTTTGAAGAAAGGCGGAAATGCCACTATACAGCAGCAATATTATTTACATCCTTAAAATTGCAGCCTGTTTCTCTTCCCAGGGCACAGCCCGTTGGGTAGCCCCAGCCACGTGGATGGCGCATGCCAGAGATGATACCTGCTAAATTGCCTAGCAGAGAAATACTGACCATACCGCAGGGCCCTGGTGCTGCTGGGTCCCAGCGTAGCGCTTTAAGGGCTGCTTAGGGCCCTGGAGAGATGCTGGTCACAATCCTCCTTCCCTGGCATCTCACCTGTCTTTTCAATCTCGCTGAAAACCCAGGATAATGCTGCTGTGCTAGTAGCCTTCACAGGAGTGTGTGCATGGCCTAAGGAGCTGGGGACTATTTCTTAGTTAAATAAAAGCTTAAGCTGTATGTGAAATGTCTGGAGTACTAAAACACTACTGCAGGATTTGCAACCTCTCCTATATCTGTGGCAGTTCAAAAACACTTGTAGCCAATAGCCCTTGGCACAACCTTTGGAGCCATGTGCTTCATAAGTGTGCCCACGAAATTCCAGGCCTATGGCGTGTAATGCTAAACCCTTGGACAGTCTATATATCGAAAAAAAGGACTCTTCTTAATCAGATAGTATCTATATTCCTATCTCTCTCACACTGCCAAACTGTGCGCGTTTTTCAAAGTACAGAAATACCCTCCCAAACGCGAGCAGAACTAGTACCAGCATCTTGGCTTCTCTTTATGAAGCCGTGTGTAAGACCCGAGCTCAGTCAGGGTAGCACGGAGCAGGTGAGGAATATCAGCAGGACACGCTGCTTTTCTGTGCCGGGCTCCCGGCACGTGTGCTCTGCGCCACCAGCTCCCTGGTGCCACTGAAGTCAAGAGCGCTGTCTTTGCTGCTGCTTCCCTTAAGCACCCCTAGCCCCCCGGCCCTCGCTTAGCGTCCCCCTTCATCAGGTGGATCGTATTCCGCAGAGACAGGTGCTGCAGGGAGAATAACCCAAAAAGCTACTTACCGCACAGGGCTTCAAACTGAAAGCAGAGGAGCCAGAAAGTGAGAGCCACCGACTTCATGCTTGCCTGACATAGACACAGCAGCCTTCTACCTCCTGAGAGCACGCAGAGGATTTCATGGGTAGCAGAGGAAGTGGTTTGTGGGTGACGGGGGAAATTATATGACAATCAGAATCAATTTAACCCTCTGACGACGTTAGCGCTATGTCAGCACGCACCGTCGCCCACACCTGTGCAGTTTGTGCTTTTTTCCTACTTCACGGGTTGCTGTCACAGACAGGAAGATGAAGGATTTTCTGTCACGACCTTTGATCTTCACTTCCGCAAAGATGGCTTCTCGCTCAACGCTCCGTGGCACAGGCTGCCATCTTCCGCGCCCCGGCCCCGCGTGCCCAGCGGCCAGCGGGTCGCTGCTCGAGGCACCGCAGAGCAGCCGCGTGTCTGTGTGCCTGCGTGTGGCTTTGCCCAAGCAGCTTCCGCTGCCCTTAGGTGGCTGCTGGCCTTGCTTGGTGGGGACGTTGTTAACCAGCAGGGCAAGAAGTGTCTGGCTCATCCGCATCCAATGGAAACACCAGCTGCAAAAGGGCCTGGCCAGGGCTTCACGGAAGGGATCGGACCCTGTGTGCCAAGCCAGAGCCTTCTCTCCTTCCTCTCTTCTGGGCTTTAGCCTGCAATCTGTGCGCACACGGGAAATGTTTTAGGACTCGTTGGGATAAAACGGGCTGTGTTTGCTTAGACCTGACTATTTGTGTGCATCTATAATACTAATCGTCGGGCAGATAATACCTTGGGAAAGCAGCTTCCAGATCAGGAGCATTTCATTTGTGATTGCTGTAGCGGCCAGCGTGCTGTTTGGGGTCGGTGCGGCAGCACCCGGGGCCTCAGTGTAGACAGCGGTTGTTGCTTCCAGGTGGCCGCTGAGGAGCGAGCAGAGCCGGGCGCTTGCAGTGCGTCTCCACCAGCCAAGAGACCCGCGCGTCTCGCTCGGGGCGCAAAGCCAGGGGTCCTTCTCTTCTCCTCAGCCCCAAACCCACTCCATGGTTGTGTCCCCATCCTCAAGTCTTTCTGCCTTACCCCTCTCTGCCAGCGTTTTGCTGCTGCACGAAGGCATTTGGGAGCGTTTCATCTAAACGCTACTGTTGGTTACCGTTAACACCTGGGACGAGCAGCGTGTTTCCACAGCGCCCTTCCTATCGCTCTAACTGCTTCTGCTCGCAAGCACGTGTTTCCTTTTTCCATCCTCAGACCCATTCCTCTTCCTCATTTCGGTTTTCACTGTCTTTCATCCACATGTTCCTTTCAGGGCTCATTTTCCTTTTCCTAACCTTCCTCCACTCTTACTCTCCCCCTGAAGAACTCCTTGTTTCTCCTGTCTCACTTGCCACCTCACTGTCTATAAAGAGGCTGGAAAATCCTTACTGGCATCTTTGTGCATTTCAAACTGCAGCCAGTAAAATACCAGGTTCCCGACGAATATCCACGCGTCCCTGTCAGGCAGCGCACATCGCTCTCCACCATGCCGCTGTCTTCAGGACTTCCCCCTATAGCTTCGTGCAACCTGGGCAGCTCCGCGCTCGCTGCGTCCCTCAGGAGCCTGGTTCCCGGCGAGCGTTTGCTCGTGATGTGCAGTGCACACGTTTGCTCGCCCTGTTTAACGGCCTAGCTCTTCTCGGCCCCGCCACGCGGCGCTCCCCGCCTGCCTGCAGCTGCGCCCTTGCCCACAGCAAAGCAACGTGTTCTCTCCCTCAGTAAAACCTTTTGTGATCCTTTCAGCCGAGGCTGCTGCAGTCTGTCTGCACAAACCGCGTGCCGTTGTCTCCTGCTGCTTCTCGGCCCTTACTTCAATCCCTGCCCTATATTCTCATGCCTTGGGGTCGCTCCCCCTGGGCAGGAGCAGAAAGGCTGCGCTCTCCGGCCTCTTCCTTTCCTGGCCTTCTAATTGAGAAGGGAACAATGGCTTTGGCCAGGCTATTTTTAGGGTTTGGGGACGGCTTTCAAGCCCCTTGCCAGCAGGCGCATAAACAAGTGGCAGGGGCAGCGCAGGATGCGGAGGTGTGAGCC